CCACTTCACGTGAGTTGACCATTCGAGCTTTTGAGAGCGAGCCTCATATATTCCACCACGACTCACTTCTACACCACATTTCCTACCACTTCGGCATTGTGCAGAATGCACAAGGATACGCTTTCAAGGTGACATCCTTCTTGAGCTTGGATATTGTGGATCATACTTCATGTGTTGCTTGCACCATTTGCACGCATGTTCGAGATATTGCTTTCACCCAAGATTGCCACATTTCCATGCTTCATGACATATATACCTTGTGTGTTGCATCCAATTCTTGGACTACTTGCTACTATCATATGGTTGGCTGCACGAATATAATTTCTTCACATATGCCATGTACCATTGCTTGTCACATGCGTGACTTGATTGCCTCACACATGATGAACAATTTGCTCTTTCTATTGTGTTGAGTGCCACACTATATTCACTACACCCTATGCACGTTATGCTTGGATTGTCTTGCACTTGACCCATGTGTTTAGACACTTCATTTTATTTGGTGTTGTGAATCCTTCCTATGCCTACCATAGACCTTTCATTGAACAATTTGTGAATGTTTGCTATTATCTTGAGGTAGATGCTTATTCTCTTCTCACACATATTTGCATCACTCTCACATTTTCATACTTGTCCCCATGATAACTTTGCTTGTGCTCGATTGACATGCTTACATGCCATGTCACAATCCTTTGTCAAACCATATGCTATTCTTGATGACAACACTTGTTTGGTGAATCACCTCTTGAATTCTTGGTTTTGCACTAACACTAACCACATTTGTTTTTCCAAGTGTTTGTTGTTCTTGTTTCTTTTCAAGGAATCACAAGACGGTGCGACATTGGAAAGTGCCCATTTCGAGCTTGAAGATGACGAGTACTTGGTGAACGTCCACTTCTACACGGCGAAGCCATCTCTTTCCGATGGTGGTTTGGTTTTCAATCCGAGGTCGGATCTTTCCCAAGGGAGGGGAGACGATGTGGAGCATCCTATGGACATCACCATGTCAAGAGTCCGTTCTGTTAGTGACATGTGCGACATATACTTCACATACACAAAGGTGAATCATCTCCTTTACACGTGCTCACTTGACCCCTTCGAGGATGGTATACTACTTGACACTTCTCCCGTGTGCATGCATAGGTATTGTCGGAGTTTTGCGAATGACGAGGAGGAGTGCAAGCGCCAAGGAACAACTACACCATCCGCGAGGGAAGCATGGAAGTGACGATGGAAGAAGACGAAGCTGCTGAAGCTACAGCGGCCGGACATCCGGGCTAGAGGCCGGACATCCGGCGCCTGTGCAGTCGCCCATGAGCTGCACCAATAGACGACTGAAGCATCAGCGGCTGGACATCCGGCCCGTGTGCCCAGACATCTGGCGCAATGCCACAGCCCGAACAACCAGTATTGCCCCCGAAAATCCAGTGTGAGGCACCCGAAGCCAGAAGGTCACACCGCTCGGGCCGGACATCCGGCGTCTCACGAGAGCGCAGACATCTGGCCCCCAGTCCCCGGACATCCGGCGCCTGCCTGCGCGCAGAGTCGAGCCAAAGGCCCATGTATCCCTTTCCCACTTACTCCTTCATGGCTTAGACTATATATACTCCTCCCCTCCTTCTAATTAGGGTTAGTAAAGTGATAGCTCATTTGTATGTGAGCTTTGACTACTCCATTGGAGGCCAAGACCTCCATCTTGGAGAAGATCCTGCGGGATATCATCAAGGACCCCTCGCGGGAAGATCCGTCTAGGATACCATCAAGACCTCCTCTTGGAGATGGACTTTACCTTGTATCTTTCCTTTTGTTGTTCATGTACCTTGTGAATCTTGTGTGTTTGATTGTCTAGTGGATGTGTGATTGGACTTGTTCTTGAGTGTTCCTCTCGTTTTCCCCCGTGTTCTTCGTGTTCTTCGCGGGATCCCTCCATTTCGTGAAAGATCGGGCATCTAGGGTTCTACCCTACATCATTATCAAAACAATTTTGCGTTTGGAGACATAGAAGTTGGCATGGCATGTGTTGGCCCCAACAAACAAGTGTCGTGTAGAGGTATGATTAGCGATTGTTGTTTACCGAGTGATCTAGTCTTCTAGTAGTGTGCAAAAGCTCACTAGTTGACATGTTGATCTTGGATCTTGAATCACTAAGTATCGATGGAGGAATGTTGATTTTAGTAGGACTAATATTCTTATTATTATTTTTAAATGTGAATTACTCTTTGTGAATACATGTCTTAGTGTTTTGCATATTTCTACTATAAATCAATGGCACCACCTACTCATGCTAGTTTTGTGTTGCAATCAATCCTTGAAAAAGATGCGAACACTTGTTCCTTACAAACTGAGGGATCAAACACCATCTTCACAAATAAAACATCTTTTGAGACCTAAGTTGAATCATTACTTAGAGAGAAAAAATGCCCCTTTAATTTAGTTTTCATGAATCAACGAAACCCACAAGGAGGACCCTAGATGCACTTACATTTGGACCTCACCAACGGGCCTGGTGCCCGTTAGCGAGTTTTTTAGCACTAGTGGACAAAAATACTAATGGACGCAAAAGTCCGTCAATGGTGGTGGGTTTGCGCCCGTTGGTAGAAGGGTTATGGCGTAGTGGAAGTCTGCTTCTCTTCTCTCCTTCAACTCAACACAAATTTGATATGGCAATTGCTATACCCCGTCTATATGATCTTATTATACTTGCTCTAAGTGGCGCAAGGGAGGCTCCCTATGCAGCCTACATGACGGAAACCATGAAGAGGAGGCATGCGAGGTGTTTCACGCCAAACGGTCCAGCCTTTGTGGTCATAATTCGGTGTATGGTTTTGAATTTTACTCCAGACCTTATCCTCTTTGTTGCATCAACAACATGACTCGCAATTTCATCCATAAAGAAAGGTCATGGGTGATGCGTTCATTGATGTGATTGCAATGGCGTTTGCTTTCCATCTTATTATTGATGGTGTATTGGGTTTTTTAAGGTCACCGGGGGAGGGCGAAGCCCTCCACCTGAATCTTTTTTCTTTTTCTATTGCATCACACCCCTAGGTAGGGGAAGGGTTTTACACATGCGTGGGAGAGAGAGAGGGGGGGGGCACAGATGCCAGACCCCAAAGAACCAAGGCTAAACCGCCCGAGAGAACGCACGGAGCCACCTATCTATGCACGCCCGGTCGACCACTTTCAAACGGCCTTTCCAAAGGACCGAGTCTTCCCGGCAGCACCCGAGCAAACGGGCCAGGGAAGGCCGAGCGCCTTGGAACACCACGGCATTTCTATGCTTCCACAGCTGCCAACAGCAAAGGAGGGTGAAGGAGGCGTGGGCAACATCACCAGCCACCTCCCGCACGTCCAGGTCCTGGAGCGCTCCAACATGGTAACTCTTCCCGACCACCGCCACGCCCACGGCCAGACAGAATGAGCGGGCAAAGGGGCAATCGAAGATCAGGTGATCCGTCGTTTCGACCACACGCGCGCAGATGGGGCATGTGGCTTCCGCAGCCGCCACAATAGTCTTCCGGAGCAGGACATCTCTCATGTGGATCCTCCGTTGCACGAGGAGCCACCCGAAGAACCGGACATGGGACGGTGCAGCGCATCCCCATATGAAATCAGCGAAGGAGGCCCGCGTGCCGCCAAAGCGTTCCAGGGCGTAGACGGCAGCCGTAGCGACGCCCCCGCTCGCGCCCCGGCACAGCACAGGGTAGCGTTCGTCGTCGCCAGGGGACTCCCGAACCTCAGCGAGCAACGCCACAAGTGCACCCCGCTCGGCTTCCCCGGCGGTGGTGAGCCGGGGGACGAGCACCTGGTCTAGGCCGTGGGCGCGCACCTGCCACATAGTGGCCTTCGTGTCCGTGGCGTGCGAAAGGAGGGCAGGGAAGGCCGCCGAGACTGCCCCGCACGGCAGCCAGTGATCAAACCAGAAGGACGCCCGCCGCCCATCCCGTACCTCCACCGTCGTCAGACTCCGATAGAGCGGCAGCATCTTGGACAGCGCCCTGGCGTGTTCGCCGACCAACCGGGAGCCCGAAGCAGAGAGCAGGGAGTGCCCGCCCAGCCCCGCCCACACCCACACTGCCCACCGCGAGGACGGGGGAGCCGCGTGGAGACGGTGCAGCATGTTGATCAACAGGCACCGGTTTTGCGTCGCGAGGTCCCGCACTCCGAGGCCCCCCTCCTCCTTGGTTCGGCAGACCCGCTCCCAGGCCACGAGGCATTGCGCGCTGGTGGCACGGTCGGCAGCATTCTAGAGGAAGGCGCGGCGCAGCGAGTCCAACTTTTTGAGCACCGCCTGAGGAAGGAGCATGGCCGCCATTGCGTACGTCGGGAGGGCATCCAGCACCGCGCTGAGCAGCACCAGCCGCCCGGCAGGGGAGAGGAGCCGACTGTACTGGTTTTTTATGGGTATTGCATCTTTGTTTTCGTATGTTGCAACACTGGTGCAGCTTGTTGCCTGTGGTAGTGCTTCACATCGCATACCGCGGGTTGCACCTGATCGGACAATGAGGGAGGTTTGCCCTAGGGCGGTGGAGGGTGTCCGATTATGTGACACAAGATTCGTCGTCCCACATCTAGCTAGTGGGGTGCTTCATTTGCAACATGTTCATTGCACACCCTCACATAGCTTCAGTTGGATCTCTCCGCGCCATTTACAGTCAATCAGATAACCGGTACCCAAACACACGCTCAAGTACAAACAGCTGCAGACATTCAACTTCTGACCAAACTGTTATCAGAGGGGAAAACGACTCCCTTATTTGCGTATTAGGGGCAAAAAACTTACGAACCAGGTAGGAAAAAAGCATATAAAGGTGCGGAGATTTTCTCCGCAGCCTCAAAAAGCACGAGCGCTCCCAGACATCCCGAGGAATGAGGACGCCAAAGGAGCGCAAAACCCAGAAATTGAGCCCGAAACAACATCATCTAGTATTACAGTCATGTACTCCAGCATATTAACTGCGATCCACTGCATAACACAGACGTGCCGGTGACACTTAATTTCACCAGTGCGGATTGGCAGCCGAAGTCCGGGATCTCTTGCCGCCTGCCAGCTTCGCGTACATCTGCGGCACCCAATGCTCCTGCCTCGTCCACCCCGCTGGGTAGCCGGCGTCGTGCAGCGCGAAGTTCGGAGTTCCTACTCCCTGCTCAAACGGGCATCACCGAAAGCCAAGTTAGTCACAGGTTCTGCTTGATGATCCAGAGATGTAAATTCTGCTCGTGTCCAAAATGGTGGATCTAGGTGGGCCTCTGAGGATGCTGTCGCTACTACAACACACTGGACCAGTGTGTGCAAGCTGCGAACATGAGCGTAGTACGTATAACCACAAACCATCCCCATAATGGAAATGGTTGTACTGGGTGCAGTCATGCCGATGCAGACGTGACCGGAACATTGCCGCGTTTCTAGCTTTCTCGATCCGGAACGTGCCAAAAAATTATAAACATCCATTCATCTGCACCAATGCTCAGTGGCACCAACCGGGTACGATCCGCCTGATGAGAAGCCGGCGGAAGCGGCCGCGGCGGCCGCCGCCGCGGTGGCGTCGTCGACCAGAAAGTCCTCCACGTGCCACCCGGGCAACGTCTTGGTGAGGTACTCGGAGATGCTGCTGCCGCTGCTGGCGCCGTGGCTCGTGGCGGGCGCCGCGTCGTCGTCGCCGCTGCAGCAGTGGCTGCTCGTGTTCTCCTCCTCCGAGGGCGGCGCGGGGGAGGCGGCCGGCTCCGAGGAGACCCGCACGCCGGTGAGCAGGAAGCGGGCGTGGCGCATGCTGAGCTCGCTCGCCGCGTGCACCGACACGTCGCACTCCCGGCACAGGATCGCCCTGTCCTCCTTGCAGAACAAGAAGCCCCTCTTCTCCTGCAGCCCAGCACACTTGACTTAAGCCCCCGTTCGTTCGCTACTTTCACGGCAATCAGAACCCCCACAGAAGCCACAACCCAGAAGATCGAGTTATATCCATCTGATCCTGACCTGGCAGATGTCGCAGAGCGGCGGCGGCATCGACGCGGACGGCGACGGGTTGAGCAGCGAGAAGCGGCGGTGCTTGCCGGCGAGCTTGTTGGCGCGGTGCACGCGGCGGTCGCAAGCGTCGCAGAGCGCGGCCTCGTCGGCGCAGCAGAAGACCGAGGCCGCTTCGGCCGCGCACACGTCGCACTGCACCTTCATGGTGGATCGATCTCCCCCTTCCTTGCTCGCGCGCGTCGCCCGAGATGCGGGTCAATGGTCTGGGCTGGCGATGGATCGCCCGTAGTACGTGTTGCAACTGTGCACGGCTACTAGCTGGAGTAGTAGATAGATGTATGCGTGGAAGATAAACGTGAGGGGCCGTGCGTTTATATACCACCGCCGGGAGGCGGGAGGCGATTCGGGGCGCTAAGCATGGGCGATTAAGTCAGACGAGGCTGGTCAAGTGTGAGTACGTACTTTGCCGACCTGACGCGCTTGGTGGTAGGCGCTGCGTCTCGCTCGCGTGAGTCGCGCCATGTTTGTCAATTCTTCTCCCTCCCTCCCTGATCTGATCTATCTATCTATCATATCCCTGTGGCTGCCATGCACGCTCTGCATTTTGCCGTTTGCGTACATGTGCTAGGTTTCGGGTGTGGCTTTCATAAGTTACGGTTTTGATGATAGTACGGAACTGTAAAGCGGTGTGTTCATTGAAAAGAAGTCCATCATCGTCCTTTGGTGGCTGAATGGGCGTGCCACTCCTGTTTCCGTGGTTGTTCGGGTGTTGACTAATTAAAGGAAAAAAGGTTACTAATTCTGGGGACTTGTCGATCTGTGGGATTTTTCCGCGTCTATAGCGTTGTCGCCTTGACTGACCCCACGGCCGGGTGCAAGCTAGCTCACATAAAAGTGCCGTGAAAGCTGAGACTCTGATGCACCTCGGCCCGGCCGTGCCATGGCTGGATAGCGCTTGTCAACGGAATAGTCCTCGTGTGACGATTGATGAATGAATAACACTTTCATTTCCTAATAAGGTTTAACCTTGTGAGTCGGGTATGCCATCATAATCTTCCCTGTCTAACCTTTTGACTGCATATCGTAACGATGAACCAATCTGTAAATTTTGATGTTGTGCCAATCTTGCCAAATACTAGCATCCCCATGAACCTTCGAGTCTGAGGAAAGAAACTCATGCCGGATTAGACGTGATGGGCATGAAATGGGCAAGTGATGGACGGAGGGCAGAGGCATGGCAGCATGGGCGCCATCGGCTCCGACAATAAAGACAGGCTCCAACTTGATGCATCCCTCTTCAACTTGGATCCTTCCTGAGGCGCCGGCCATTAACCACCGTCCTGAACGTTACCCAATCACTCACTCGCTCCTCTAGCAGCCAAAAACCAGCGATCGACCAAGATCCGTCGGTACCGCGTCACCCACGCGCGCTAAACTGCGAAAGTTGCATCGCCAAGATTGGTATTCGGGACAAGGAGATTTGATGTCATCCTCTGCGCTGCCATGCTAGCTAGACGACACACGGCCTCTTTTCTCTCAGCTACCAGTGGCTATCTCCGTTCCATATGCACATGTTGGAGAGAACGTGCGTTGGCTAACATGCAGCGACTGTAGGTGGCGGTGCCATGCTCTAGAATCTAGATGCTGGGACGATAAAAAGCTTGCCATCTATACGGCCGATCTGTAGAGCTGAGAACAAATTGCGTTCTTGAGACAATTGGACGTTTTGCATGAACATGGAAATCTTCTGCCGTTTGTGTGTTCGTGACCTAGCAATAGACATGCACTACTCCTTAATTCATGAGAGTAGTAGTACTAGTATATAAGGCTGGTTGTAATGGATAGTATCATATACTAGTAGTGCATGATACTAGTATATGATACTATCTCCCTAATGCATAATATCATATCTTAGCATCATGTAGTACTTTATTTATTGTCATGCATGACACATAGCAGCATAAATTTATTATGATACGGTATCATAATATGATACTCAACCCTCTCTTTCTTTATTTAATTCCATGACACATCATCAAAATTGTCCAGTTGACATGCATAATACTAGCTATGATACTAGCATTACAACCAGCCTAAACCAAAACCATGGAGGGCGGAGAGCTAATCGGACGGCATCTTTAATCCTTGACCCACTTGTTCGAGTGAGATCAAGACGCTGATTTAAAGCGTGTGGCTGTCGATCTGCGCTGTTGTTGCCAATAATGCAAGTCTAGTGGAGGTCGCGTGCAGGGGCAGCGGGGATCCACCGGATCGCGGCTGCTGATTTGCGTGCGTAGCAGCGACCCCAAAAAGGCGAAAAAGTGCACCAAAAAGGCAATTTTTGGCCGCATTAGCGTCGCTTTTGCCCGCCCCGTTGGCACTGGCAGCATGGGCGGGTTCGAGGTCATCACCGCGGCACGGCGGGCCTCGCCTCAACCACATGCCTTGTGTCCAGCTGCCACGACGGGGCAGCAACGAAATGTTTAAAAAAATATCTGGGATATGTCATGGTTAATTGCTCGACCTGTCTCTTGATCGGCTGTTTCTGTTCATGAAGGATCTGGGGTTGCCGGGCCGGCAATAGATGGAGCGTTGCCGCCATGGCCCTGACGACTATGACTGGCCACTTGTTCCCCGTGTGCGCCACTGCCATCTTGTTCCCCGTGTACGCCACTGCCATCGAGGAGCTTTCCTTGAGGAAAGTCTTGGTAAATGGTGTGTCTGGGAAGATGATTCTTAATATTTGCGGGCTACGGCAAGGTGATCCGCTATTCTTGATGCTCTTTATCTTGATCATGGAGTCGCTACAAAAGCTTTTCAGCTAGCTAGGGATCGTGGAATAATGTCACCTCTTGCGAGACCCTGTTTGAAACAAAGGGTTTCTATGTTCGCCGATGACATGATGATCTTCTTGAAGCCGACGGAGATCGAGATGCAAGTGTGCGCAGCCATCTTGAGGTACTATGGTGAAGGGTCCGGGCTCCATGTCAACTTGACAAAGAGCAATGCCCTGCCTATTCGGTGCAATGCAGAGACCGTGGCCAGGATCTGCACGATTCTCGGATGCCCAGTAGGAACCTTTCCCTGCAAATACCGGGGCTTACCACTGACATTATAAAAGCAGATGACAACTCAGTTCGATGGATTGGTGGGTCAGCTTGCGGCCCGTTTGCCCACATGGCATGCAGTCATGATGCCCAAGAGTGGGCGCCTCCTCCTTGTGCAGTCTGTACTCCGTGCCATTTCGATCCACTCCATTCTTGCGTTGGATATACCACCGAAGACTATTGCTGCAATGATCAAGATATGTAGGGGCTTCCTATGGTGTGGCAAAGCCCAAGCACGAGGTGGAGCTTGTGTGGTTGCTTGGGAGGTAGTTTGTTCGCCAAGATGGGCACGAGGATTGGGCGTGCCGAACCTCAAATGGCTCAATATTGCTCTTCAGGCGCGCTGGCCATGGTTGCACCGCTCAGACACCTCACGGGGATGGAATGAGTTCACGTGGAAGGTGCCGAAAGAATCCTTGGCACTATTCAGATCGACTGCACACATGACTGTGGGTGACGATGCGACAACCTTATTTTGGGAAGACCTGTGGGTATCCGGTTGGTGAGTACATGAGATGGCCCCCAAGATCTATGATCGAATCCATGTGAGGGCTAGGCGAGCAGGAGAGCAAGGGATGGGCTCGAGAATGCTCTCTGGGCACAGGATGCATGTTGGACCGGACTTGGAGCTGGAGTTGTTACATGAATACTTCTTGATCTGGGAAGCGGTGGAGCAGGTTGCCCTAATTAAGCATGGGTCTTAGGGACCAACTTAGATGGTCTTGGGAGAAGGATGGACAGTTTTCGGCCTGCTCGGCCTACGCTACAAAGTTCTGGAGGAGGGAGGTGGCACCGGCAGCAGACTTCACCTGGAAATCAAATGCCTCGCTACAATGTCATTTCTTCACTTTGCTCGCATTCAGAGATAGGTGTTGGACATCAGATAGACTAGCCAGGAGAGGACTCCCGCAGCATGACTTGTGTCCCTTCTGTAATCAACACAAGGATATCATCCAACAACTTCTGTTACGGTGTGTGTTTGTGAGGGAGGTCCGGCACAATGTGTGTGAGGCACTGGGCAGGCAGGACTGGACACCGTTGGGGACAGACATGCTTACGGAGTGGTGCATTGCCAAGAATGACAATGGACATCACATCAAGGACATCCGGGCAATTGTGGTGCTAGTCATGTGGTCCATTTGGAAACAACGCCACGATATAGTCTTTGAGGGAGCCATTCCTTCTATCCCTAGGCTGGCAAGGACAATCGAGAGAGAAGGTAGGCCTTGAAGAGCGGCAGGGCTACATAAGGGTGATCTTGATTTCTTCTTCAGTTCATTGACAAAGTGGGTAGACAGGAGTAGGTAGCGTAGATGAGGGTGGAGGTGGGTTTGTTCGTTGCATGTAATCTGTAGATGGACTTGGTGGATGGTTGTCTTCCCTGCTTCCTTCTTTATACTACGATACACACACTCATGCGTATTCGAGAAAAAAAGGAACAGTTTGACATTGAAACATGGTAACGAACCCCAAGAGGGAGATTAGGGACATTTGCGCGGGCGGTGATAGGTCGACGACACTACAATCCATGGCTTGGTGGTGGTCATTTAGATTTGGTCGGTCGAGTGGGGTTGATTGTAGACTATGGTGCAGCGACCTCATACGATGCCACGACCGCGGTTTTCATCCAAAGATCATGAATGTTCAACTCTCAACATTGAGTGGTTGACTGCGGCGGTGAGATGCAATTTATGGATGATGACTTGACACATAGGGATGGTTGTGCAGCGGTGGCAGTTGCATCACATGTAGCTGCTAGGATTGCGGAAAAGTGGTGGCGACAACACTTGAGTGACTTCAATGGTACTGCTACTCAAGCACCCGATCATGAGCTTCATGGTGAAATCCTATGTCTGACCGAGCTGGTTATACCTCGCAATGCTGATGTTTTAACATCGTTACCTTGTTGGAGGCATTGCTCGGATTGATTCTTGAGGGTAAAAGCCTAGATTTCGACCTTGGTGGTTGGACCCGGCCACGACGATATTTGAATGTTGCTTCCTTCTTGATGGTGTTGCTGTTGAAGAACTCGTTGTCTGCGTGGTGTCATAAGATGGTTGGAGTGAATATGGTCATTGTTGTAGTTTGCCGATCATG